TTGTCTCGCTATGCTCCGAACCACCGATTTTGTGACACAGTTTTGGGTGGATTTGTGAGTTTCTGAAAACAGCAAAGTCATCGGTATTTACGGTGGTTTCAATGTGTTTTACATACCCAAGAAAGACGGAGGTAGATCATGGGGGGGGGGCTGACCATATATATATATATATACACGTATATATATATATATATATAAACAAACACGTTTTATTCACATTGCTTTTTTGCATCTGAACTCCGTGGATCACGCCGCTGATTCGCACAACAGCCCGTGCCGGGAGCAAACTAGTACTACGAGTGCTGGCTAGACTTTGCAACAAGGAAATGGGTACTATTTCACACATCTGAAATAAGTGATCCCTGCGAAAGTGTAAGCTAGGTGTCGAAGAATTTGCCCCCCGAGATCAACAGAGAGAGAGAGAGAGAGAGCAGAGCTGGTCGCGGCATGAGAAAAGTGACATGTCAATATATCATCGCGCCCAACCCTGTCTGATGCAGCTCATGCATGAGACAACCTCCACGCGAAGCATGCATCTGGGATGCATACGCACTGCAACCATGGCTTTCTAAGTGCAGTCGGCTGCTGTCATTCCAAAACACATGTGCTGAATCGACTTCGAAGAACTAACCCGGGATACATCTTGCCAAGGAGATCTCTGGGGATCACTGTCAACTTCACGCGTCACTCGCTGCCTTCAGTGCACAGGCCCGATCCCAATCCGCTGAACCAAAAAAGAAGTCACGAATGCTGGGCTTGGCTGAACTGGCTTGACGACGCGGCCAACAATCCTTCAAGAAATGCGGCCTTTTCTTCAGATACATGAGATTTTTATTGCAGCAGACACCCATGATCCCACAGCTCATGATGAGATCCTGGATGTCCTAACTGGTCTGAGCCGTGAGTTTCACCCATCTACGGCATTGAACACTACATCGTTCGCTTTGCGAGCCCAGAGCATGTACACCGGCAGATGAGACCGCAGGCATAATTTGTGCTCAGCTTCCGGAACTGGCTTTCCTGAATATGTTAACCGACTTGCACAGCCTTGTGGTCGCACGTTGCCAGGTACCTAGGCCCGGGAATCACAATAAACTGAGTTTTGCGAAACATGCTTCTTGATGGCAGCATGACACATGTTGTTTCATTATCGCATGTAAGTAGGTGCCCGCATTCTGTGCTTGAGATGCCGGCATAAAGAAAACCTTGGCGACACGATGCCGAGGGACTCTGAGCGTGCGATTCCTGTGCAGTCTTGACGGAAAAGGCAGTACCCGGGAGCTCACATAGCAGAACACTTGTGCCTTGATACTCTTTTGCAGCATGGAGCAGGGCCTCATTGAATCTGAAAACACGAATCAGCCACTGTGCATGTGCAAGCCATGTCCCACCTAAAACCAGACTAGCAGCAGAACTGGCCGTTACTGCGTGGGCGCAACTCATGAAGGCTGTTTTATGAGAGTGGCTAGCCACCTGAATGCACGATAACCTCTGAGATCCAGGCGCTCACGTCAGGAATCGCAAATATCTCCGCAGCGACACGAGCGACAACTTCACTGACCCGCTTAGGGCTTGGGGGACTCCACAGCCCAAATTTCTCGCCCAATGTCCGCAACAATTAAGCCACATCTGTGGGTTCTTTTTGAATTCATCGCCCCAAGCCCAAGGGGAAAAAACGTTGCATCAAGAATCCAGAGCTTCAACCAAGAAGTCAGCCAGCATAGAGGAGCAGACATGAAGCACACACGATCGAGGCTACAGAATCACGTGGGGGACTCCTCTGAAATTATGTTAAAACGTTCCTCGAAGGCTAGACGAACGACCAGGTTTATCTAATTAAGTACCTTGAAACTGGCCCGAGCCGACAACAACCGGTTGAAGCTCTCGTTACACGGCTTGCCGGCCCCAGCTGGCTTCAACCAGGCAGGGCTGGGCCAAGTGTGAAAATCTTGTGCTCAACAAAGGATGCCAATATGGACCCTAAACCGCTGTGTCCTTCACATTACATGACCCCAACAGACTACCACTTCCCTTCTTGTAAACCCCCATGGGACCTGGTGTTTGTGGGCTGCTCCTGGGCGTGTTCCTCAACAGGCCCTCACCTTTCTCTGAAAAAGTTTGGGCAAAGGCTCAAGACAGTTGTAAAGCCCACAAAACCCTTACAGGCCCGAAACCCGATCGTGCCCAAACTTCTCCAGAATCTCGGGAAAGCGGCTTAGCAGCACTCTTCTCATTTACTATGGCTCGGCACAGGAAGTGTGCACCAAACTTCGGGGCCTTCTGGGCCTTGCAGCTTTATAAGGACAGTCCACTGTACACCCCTGCGATAGATGTTCGAAAAGCGGATCCCGGTGCAAGTGTTCCAAGGGGATCTAAGTTCAGAAACAGCACGGCCATCTGTCGCAGGGATGCATTATCCAGTTTCCGCGTTGCGGCAACGGTCAGTGGACTCAAAAACGAAGGCTTGCCGTCTGGAAAAGCCCTGCCCTTGCACCACGCAACAAACCAACAGACCAGGAAATCGACATCAGCTAAAAGCAAGCTCAAACATTAGGGTTTGAAGCTATCTGAATCCTCGTCCAATCGTGGAAAACTAGGAAGGCTAGGTCAGGAGCCCTTGGCCTGCTCTGCCATATTGTTGTGTGACGAGCATTGACTGGGCTTCATCCAGTAGCATGCTTAATTCCAGAGCTGCTGGCACCAGCATCAGCCCTGTCTGCACGGCGGGCATAATCAGCTCTTGTGCAAGGGCCTTGGAAGTGCAACAGGTATGACGGCGACACTGCAGTCAGTTGGTGGTTGAATTTGCAGGGAAAGCTGGGCTGGTGACAGTTGGTGGAAAGAAGGCTGGAGATCGCGGCATGCTTGGGCTACAAGATCGGTCGATCTCTGGACGCTTCGGGCCTAGCGATGTCCCAACAACACTCTGCCCAAGCACGCGAGTCAAGAGTCAGAGCGACTGGGCTTTCGGCCTGCTGCGAAGCAACTGGTGCACCTGAGCGCCGTACAATATTCGTACAATGCTTCTGCAACTCCGCCTAAAGAACCTGTGCTCTTCTTGCTTCTCCCCAAGACGCCTCTGGAGACTCGTGCCGGCATGAAGGCCAATCTTTTGATGGCCTTCAAGATTGTGGAAGCAGCGGTCTCGTACAGGTCCAGCAAGTGATCTCTTTGCACATGGTGTTGCGCCCTCAGGGCTTCACCTCAAAGATGATGAAGCCAACCACGAAACAGGCCATGGTGACAAAGATCTGTCCAGGCAGGTGAGGTTGGTTGCGTCGGCAAGAGCGCAACAAACAAAAATCTCCGCTACCTCGCTGAAGGCACCATCGTCCTCGGAGCAGTCGGCCGCCACCTTGTCGTTTGCTCACAGCATCAGAGGGCCAAGTTGTAGAGAGAGAGATGAGTCATTCGGCCCAGGCCCTGACAGTCATGAGAGTGAACCTTAGCAAAGCAACTACACTTACAGAAGTTGAAGCCTGTGAGCTGATCTGCCTCTGCTGTGACCTCTCCCGCACACAACCCCAAAGCCGACGGTTCCATCGAAGCTTTGCAGTGGCCAAGACTATAAATCAATCGCTGCACATCGCAATTTCCCGAGACATCTCGAGCATGGCGGCAAACTGTGAACATGCGCTGTCCCGAACCCTCTTCAAAGCTTGCGGCCGCTGCTTGCGACGGCTACCAGCTACGGAACCAGGCTAAGGACCATCTTCCCCACCTTGATCCAGAAACAGGTCGTCACGAGCAAGGTAGGCCTTGCCGGCTGCCCTGCGCATCGTAGACCAAGTGTACTTTGCAAAGCCCGCCGGATCAAGAGGGCCACTTCTGCCCCGTCTTTTTAGCGGCAAGCAAGTCTACGCATGCTCTTTCACATCGTCGTTGATCGCTTGCCTCGGCACAACTTGTTACTGACCTGCAGCTATTGCCTATCTTCTGCGATCAAGCCGCACAAGCGGGTTCACCGGTGAGCCGTCGGCAGCTTTCCTGAAGCTCACAACGGGTTTGGGCCCGACACCTACCAGCTCGAGTCATACTTTCAGAGTAAGATCCGCTCACTTGGCCATTCGCATCCAGTTTCACTGTCGGCGGGTCGTTTGGCACCCTTCAAACAGGGACGGTCACGACCAAGAAACACACCTACGTGCAGCCTGCCTGCAGGTGCTGTAGAAAGCTCCTAGCTTTTGGTCAACAATTTCGCTTCTGAGCTCATCTGGCTGCTTGCGAGTCTGTCTTGACCCAGCTGCGAGCGACGAGTCAGCCTCATCAAGAAGAAAATCCGCTTGATAAGTCAGTCCATCCTGTCGCCTATGTTTCCGCCGGCTTTCTGCATCGATCTTGTTGGCGCAGTCGCAGTCTACAGAACGTTGTCTGACGCACAATCCATCGCTGCGATATCCGAACCGAGCTTGCTGTTGAATCAGATCCTGGTGGGGAGCACCTTCCGAACACACTGGCCTGCTGATGCATCACCTGTTCTGTCTCCTCATCCGCGTGCGGAGATTGTTTTTAGCGTGGCCAAAGGTCCATTGTGACTGATCGAGCGGCTTGCTGACGTTGCAAAAATCACAGCACTTGTCGGAGCCTTCGACTTGAACACCCCTCTCTGCAAGGTCGATTAGCACTTGCCGTCCGATCATATTGCTCCCTCGAGAAAGCTCGTCGGCAACTTGTGCATGTAAACACTTTACATCACTGGAGTTAACAGAAAATTTCACGTTAGCCAGACCTGCCGACATGATCACATCGACCGTCTTGTTTCCCATGATCCTTCTCGCTTCGAGGAGTTTGTTCTCATGCACGGACATGAAGCTTTGGCGCAGGCTTCTGTGCGCCTCATGCGTTGCTAGCAGCTGCGACTGCCAGTCATCATCGTGCTTCACTCGTTTATTGTACGCCTCAATTGCCACCACCTCGTAGTCATCGATGGAAGACACGAGTAGCGGGCATGTCAGGCGCATCAAGTCCCCAATCTTCCCAGAAGAAAGCAGCGGATCCATCACGAGGACCTGTGGCCAGCCATGCCGACAACGATGCCCTGCCCGCATGCTGTGCCTCTCAAGCTCCCAATCGCTGCCTGGCGGGAGCAGTAGCTGTCGCCGTGTCACACATTCAACATCAGCCTGGCTCAGTTCGGTGGGCCCCAGGAGTCGCTCGAACGGTCCGCTACCACCGACACGGCGCAGAGTCGCTTTGACGCGGCTCTCGCGCACGCTCGAAGCGCAGCCGCGATGCCGAGCTCGCAGCTCGCCTGATGTGAGAAGGAAGGTGGCGCGGCAAGCTCGGCGAAGGAAAAGGCTGCATGCCAGACACGCCAAACCAAGCCCGACATGCCGGCAGCACCGACGCATGGCGAACCCAGCTCAGCGGGGCTAAAACACCAAGGCAGGAGCAAAAAAAAGCTTGCTTGGTGTCGGTGTGTCTCGGATGACTATAGTCTCTTCAACGCGGCTTACACTGGCAGTCAACAGGATCTGATCCCGTCTCCCACTCGCACCTCTTCAAGCATGGCTGACACTTCTTAGGGCACTCCGGACACTGGCACGCCGGACCTCGGGCTTCCAACAGCAAGGGCAATCAGACCCACTTTGCCGCCCATCGATCCTGTTCTTCTTCGCTTGGCTTCTGCCAACCAGGGATTACTTCAGGACTCAGGGCAGCACAGAATGGACAGTTGTTCTCCATCCGGTTGCAGACTACCCTTGCGCCGATCGCATCACACGACAGCAGCAAAACAAAACAAAAAAACCTTCCATTACTTTGGTGCATTTACGAGACCGGCGGTTCGTGAATGCACTATCACTAAATTGCAAGCAAAGCTCTTCCCTGCGACTGGCGGTGGTGTGCCTAGCACGGAATGTAATGAAGCCGAGTCATTGCAGGTCTGCTGGTATGTTTGATAGCTCAGGCAGGGCTACTTTCGCCTCCAGGCAACGACTCTATTTTGGGTTCCGATCTTGTACCGCTTGATGTCATGCAAGGCACAAGTCGCACGTCTCAACCATGTGGAGTAAAGAAACAGAGGCAGGATCAAAAGTCAAAAACCTCCTGGCCTTCATCACCTTCCGGGTGCCTAAAACCTCGGACAGCACTGCCCGACTGACCCCCTCCCCCACGCAACACTCTTCTAGGGTGTGCTCGCAGCTTGACTGGGTGCCAAGACCATGCGGACAGGAGGGGCAAGTGGGGCACGATGGGCACCTCATCTTAGCTCGAACCATTTCTGTGCTAATTTGTTCCTATGATTTCCATCGCAAGCGTAACGCGTCCAAGTGTGAACTGACGACTGGGGAGTCAGCTCAGCACACTTCTCGCAGTGTATCTCTGGGCAATCTTGTCCTTGGATCTGTTTCCAGAACAAGTACTGCTTCAAACGAAACAACACAGCTGGAGATGGAGCCACGAAGCTGGACGGGATTGCCTCTTTGGGCAAGTGCTGTTCCTGCCAGCAAACCGCCTCTGCGCTTGTGCAGCTGAAGTTTTACGCATGGGCCTCGCGCGCGATTGCATCGGGATCCATCGATTTGTGATCTGCCTCGGGCGGCAGAACCGTCCCATGGCTCTCGGCTACGACAAGATTTCGCGCCCCACCTGTTCAGCTTCAGCTGCCATGCGGCTGGCTTCATCCTGGTGGTGCTACTACAGATCTCGCACATCATGCCGACCACCTCCTGCATCGGAACCCTCGCGACTCGCAGAGTGCAGCTGAGCCACTCTTGGATCAAGCTCTGCCTGCATGTGGGCGTCGAAGCAGGTTTTTACCTGAAGGTGACCCGGGTGGCTTCTCAGCTGCGAGAATCACGATCCGACCGTTTCTGAGCTCTTTCCTTGCTTCGAGTCAGATCCTCCGGCTGAAACCGACCTTGACTTCTGTGGTTCTGAGGCCTCTGCCACCCGGCCGCGCCCAGGTGGCTGTAGTAGCAAGATCTCCTGGAAAGAGGGTTGTCTTCAAGATCTATATTGCAACACTGCTGCTGACACCCCTCGTCTTACACATGAAAACTAGATTCCGTGTCTTCATCTGTCCTTAGGTGGAAACAAGAACTGGGCGGCGTGGGATGCATGCTCGCCGCTCGCATCAAATAGTGCCGCTACCTGAGCTGGCTGTAGTGGCTGGTGGGACTCGCAGCGGCAAGTGGGCTTGCTTACACCTTGTTTCGACTGCATGAAACCAAGGCTCCAGTGGCTGAAGCCAAGCTTTGGGCATCAGGACCTCACTTGGTTCTACCTCAAGAACCCCTAGCACTGCCACACTCGCTGCAGGTTCAGGCCTTTTGTCCTGTGTTCCATTCGGGGGCCCCGTCTCTCTGCCTGTCTCTGTGCTGTGTGTCTCTTCGAGTCTGCTGCTGCCCATGTACCGCGTCTTAATCTTGCTCCGGCAACAACAAGCATCCCTCTGGGACTTTGAGCATCAGATAGCGCCAGCTGGGAGAGCACTCGGCTTCCAGCTTGCTCAGGGGTTCAACGTCACCTGATCCGCGTTGGATGTCGGTCTACTTCCGATTTTCTGCTGTCAAGGTGTGCATCTCGAAGTGAGCCACTGGGTCCTGGTGGTTGTGGCGCGACACTAGACGAGGTAAAAAGAAGATCCAGGGCAATTTGACTGACCTTCGGCTTGACAAATAACTGCTGGAAATCACTGCATGCAACTGGCGTGAAACGATTCATGCCCGCAGCTTCGCTCTTCGAAACTCCAAAGGCCGAATGGGGCCTGTCAATCAAACATGGGTTGCACTCGCAGAGGGAAACCGCGAATACACTATCTCGACGCGGCTAACCGCCCAGGCTTGCACAGGTCCCCATGACATGCAGTGGAAAGCAGACGAGGCCAAAACCTGAAGGAAAGACGTGGTGCGAAAGAATTCGCACGGGTCGCCTCCTGTCCTGGACTTGAGCCAAGCCCGGCCCACATGGCACCTGGACTTTGAAAAACTCAGGGCTCCCGTGGTGGATATGCATGGAGCGCTTCCACTCGCGCATTTGGAGTCGCTTGCATTTGCAAGGGACTCCTGCAATGCGATTCATGTGGCACAAATTGAAAAAATCATCAGAAAATAAAGATGCCTCCATCGGCCCTCAGTCTAACCACGCCTTCATCGGAGCATGAACCTAAGACAGAGCTAGTCGACAAAGCTTGCGGTTCAGTTTTGACTGGCTTGGGATCTTGAGGCATCGTTCGGCTAACCCCTAATAAGTGCAGCCCAGGCTCCGGGACAACACCTTGCATGCCTGCTAGCTGGTTCTGCAGTTCAGGCATCCGCAGATGAGTTGTAGCAGCTTACGAACCGTGTCTTACCGTCTCGGGGATATGCAGTCGCGTACGTACCACCCTTTGATCAGAACAGATGTCTCCGCACCTTGGCCATCTTCCGTCGGCTTTGCATCGTGCTGACCTGCATCCGACCACGGAAGGGAACACTGCAAAAGCAGAAAGACAACACCAGCGCGAGGCTGCAGAACAAGCCACCATGCTAGCAGCTCAATACCTCACCTCCTTGGGCTGGTAGACACAAAAGGACTGTCGACTATGCCTATGCTTTGTAAGGACGCAAAAGCCGCCTGGGACCTCTCCCGGCAGCATCTCCTCGCTCACCACCTCCGACGTCAAGGGGGGGATCATGGACTTGTTTCAGGTGGTAGTTTCAGAAAATCAGGGGTACCTTATTTTGGGGTCCTTATAATTTGGATCCTAGTATTTAGGGTACTATATTAGGGTCCCTATTTTCGGACACCCCCACGTGGTCCTGACTCCGGCTGTTCTGCATGTAGACGTGCGCGAGGGATGTATGTATACGTAAGCATGTTTATGCTGCTTTATATTGTACCATACGGTACTGCTTATTTCATTTTATATTATACTATATTATTTTGTGTTGCACTTTCGTATCATATAGTTACATATTATGTCGAATTGTTGTTTATATTATACCATATTATATTCTACTATGCTGTAATATATTTACACATATCTTTCTTCTACATGTTATGCTATTTCATTTTCTGATACGTTGTTTCATTAAATTATATTATATTAGACTATTACGTTGTTTGTTTAGGATGCACGGTAACTCAGCATACTGCACCATTTTATATCCTACTACGGTGTTACTAGTGTACCATTTGCCAAAATCAAATAGAATACAAGGTTCATGCAATCATGGGGGCTATCGAACTTAGCAGACAGTCTACTGGAGCATACGCCCAGGTTTGAACATCCTTGGTTTGGATCCGCATACAACAGGAGCAAACATATAGCTATCATATAACTCTACTTCTATACGAAAATATGTATGCATATGTATATATATATATATAAATGTTTGTGTATATATGTCTGTGTATATGTGTATAAATCGTTGTGCGCTGTGCGTTCCCCCCCCCTGGTACCCCCCCACATACAAGTGCTTGGGCATTTTGGAGGCAGGGGGAAGGGCGACCACACGCACGACGAAGAGAACCGGTCTTGTTCTGCATAGTTGCCGAGAGGCTATGTTCAGAAGACAGAAATAAAGCGCACCAGAGGGCTGGTGTGAGGAAGAGGACACAAACCACATCCTGCCAAAACCGTACGTACTCAGGAAGAACCATGGAGTAGGGGAAACCAACCCGAACCACAGGGGGGGAGAGCCAACCAGCAGTTTTTTGGCGAAATACATATTATGCCTCGTATACTAGGGGTGGCAGCACATGGACCATTCCCCGATCTACGCACAGGAGAGAGCGGAGACTTCGTTCTACAAAAGGAAGGGAACCAACCCCGATTAGAGGGAGGGCGGGAAAAGGGGAATAGCCAGGTATATGGCAGGATTACATAGCAAAGCAGATGATGCTTCATATGCTAGCATACGGACCATGGGGGATGAGGGGGGACAGGCGGGGGCCGACCGTGGCGCCACGAGATACAGATATAAAGAAAGAAATAGAGAAAGATATAGACATAGATAGATACACACGTATCTACGGACACAAACACACACACGCACATGTGTGTGTGTGTGTGTGTACACATGTCCTTGTGCATGCGCGCGCCATGGCTATGCATGGCCCATCTCGTCTTGATTGCTGCAAATGCAGGCGCCTCCGACTGCCTGTGTTGCTGGGCACCGATAAACTCTGGATGATCATCAGGATCCACTGGTCCAACCAAGGCCTCAGCATCCAAAGCATTCTTGACTTGCGCAGGTCCTCGCGGGAGTAGTGTGAAACTGTGCTTTCAGGAACTTCCTGGGAAGGACACTTCATGCACATTGGCCATGTACTTTTTGACCGTGGCCACTTCGAACATCAACCTGCGCGGAGAAGCTTCGGGATTGATATTGGTCTGCCGCATGATCCCAACATGCATCCCTCTCTATCCATATCAGGCACCGGACAGGCATTACACAACTCAATGCTCGTGGAAACTCACGCTGCTGTTGGCTTCTCAAGGTCTAACGAGCTCAGCGGGAATCGGACAAGAGGCACCTGGCCACATCGATGCTTTTCGCACCTCCGCTGAACATCTGGATTCCGATGGCAAACTCCTAGCACATGGTGTTCGTTCGGAGCAATGTGCTGTCCAAATCCCCACTGGGTGGAGACAAGTCGAAGTGACACCATGAGGCCGACCCGTCCTCGACCGACACACTTCCGTTGTTCTGAAAATCCAACCTCATGTCCGTGGAACAACGTCAGCAATCAGCTTGGCGGCCACATGCCTAAACCTGTTGCTGAGAGGTGGCATGTCGAAAACGTTTCTGAGTTCGGATTCTGTGTCGATTGCTATCCTCAGCTACGAGCAGAAACTGTCAGCATGGCCCAGCCTAACCACTCGCAACCCAAGTTCCCGAGCTTCTTGAAGCAAGTCTGGAAATGAAGGTCCGATGCACATGCCTGGAACTCCTGCCACCGGGAGGAATCCAAGCAAAGCTGTACGTCTTGCCATCCGTCGCCAGCTGTGCGATTGCAGTCGTCCTTTTTGTTGGGGCTTTGGCCTCGTCCAATCGACGAAGTGCGTGAAACGGATGTGCCAAGCTCTTCTCGGCACCTGCACGCCTTGCCGCAGATCCGCTTTACGGACTGCTGGCACTGGAGGATTCCTAGAGTCCTGGAGTCCTAGAGGCTCGGTTTGCTCTCTGAAAGGCTCGGGGCCGAAACTGCTCGAGGAAGGCCAGGAGGAGCGTGGCCGGAGCCCGCGAAAGTGGCCGCCGCGCTGCGCGGTCTTCGGAGGGAGCCTGGGGGCTGGGCCTCCCCATGCTTTATGAAGATCCAGGGGCTCCTGTCGACCTGACCCGGGGCCTGGCTGGTTTGGCTTTGGCCCTTGAGAGACGCGTGCTTCTCGTACCACTCATAGACACCATCGAGGTGCTTGCATCGGGCCTCGTGGCTCCTTGCCTGGCCACCCGCATTGTGGGCCAAGTCGAAATCGAGGAACAGTTTCTTCAGCGAATGCCCAGCTCGATTCAGAAAATGATCCTTGACGCCTTTCATGTCGAAAAAATGGAGTTGCCTCCGCCTTGCCTCTAAGGATTCCCGCTCTGTTCTCCATGATCGGCGGGCCTGGTGGGCAGCTGCCTCCTGCTTCTTCACCTCGTCATCCCGTCTCGTCATCCACTGCTCCAGCTGCTCATCGAGGCTCAGCGACAGCTGGAGCTGTTGCTTTTGCTGCTTCTGCGCTTCCTCCAGCAGCTGACGCGCCTTCTTGTCGACCCGGCCCCGAAGCACGTGCTCCGGCTGCTCGGACTGCGCTTGTGAACTTTGCAGCACAGCGGAGGCCGACGCCGGTCTGAAACTGGCCCTTCGGCCTTCGTAGCTCGGCCGCTCGGAGATTGATTCGAAGGTCGTCTGCAGGTTAGCCTTTGGTAAGGAGTTCACGGACTTCACCGTCTCTTCGGACTGGCGCCGGCCGAAACCGGGGCCGGGACCGCCCATGAAGCTCGAAGCTGAGGTTCTTCGGCTGTCCGCCGCAGCTGAGGTCCGCCTGCTGCTGGCAGCCGCCGAAGTCCTCCGACTGTATCCACCGTAGGTCCGACCCCAGGTACTGCTCGCAGAACCCCGCCGGCTTGCAAGCAACGCAGGGGACAAATCGGAGCCCGAGTCCAGCTCCGATACCATCTGACTCGGCTCATCGTCCCCAAAGCTGTCTTCCATGAGGGAAACCTGTGGCGTTTGCTCCGGTGCTGCCTCAGAGGTCGCCGCAGCCTCCACCTTGTGCACGAAGCTTTTCAACGCTTTCATCTTCGGGTCGCTGTACAGCGCAGCACTCCGCGAGGCCTTCGGGGCAGTCTGACAGGATGGGAGTGCGATCCCTTTCAATGGCCGATTCGAGGTCCCGCTCTTGTCCTTCTTCTTCCGGCGTCCTTTGGAGCCTTTGGAAGCCTTGGAAGAGGAGGAGACATTGCTTGATCTTCGGCTCGATTTGCTAGTCGATTTGCTTCCCACCATCAAGCAAAACCCAGGGAACACCCCTAAGGACCCATTGCGGCTGCCCTCGGAACCCCTTCACACGCTTGAGCACAGGTTGCCCGACGCATCTGCAAGTAGAGGCACGTCTGCATTTTATATCACTACACTATTCTTCGGAGACTCGTGACGAACCTAGAAGTGACATGACATGACACCCTTCGGGCGCTGTTCTAGCTGTCCTCCCAGTTCACATTGCCTGAGACGAAGGCTCTTCGCTGCTCCGACAGATGCACCACCATGCGTACCCGACTCTGGTAATGCCACAAAGATGCCGGAGTTGTCGATGTCACACTCTGAGAAGAGGCGACTGACGGTGTCCACGTAGTCCTGACCAGCTCTTCCGAACACTTTCAGGCTGCCAAGTCCAAGCGACTGCCGTCGACATGCTCGATCGAAGCTCTGGACGCCTTTCGAGCCCTGAGCTCTTCCATCATGCACATCTCCTGCCAGCGATGGAACTGGTCAACACCCGACAATACCTCAGAGCCTAACACAGCACTTTGTGCAGGGACCACGACGTCACTAAGAGTGCACCCTACAGGTCAGCCCCCAAGGAGCACTCCTCATCAGCTGCTGTCATTCGGCTGGCATTTTCCACAAACACCCCGGTCATGACCTCTGGGCGCAGCGGCTCCGAAATTTGAGCGTTTCTCAAACCGAAGTCGAGCTCGCTTTGGCAGATCTACGGGCCACGCCCCTCAAGCGGGAAGGTAGGGATGAGAGCAAATCAGCAAGGAGTGAAGTTAGCATATAAAGTCTTGGTCACCTAGCAGGAAGAACTCATCTGCGACTGTGACTCCTCTCACTTCAACAGTCTGAGGCGGTGGCATTGAGGACGCAGAAGAGTGCAAAGCACATGTACACCTCACGGTGCACCAGTTGAAGGCATAGCCACGATTTCTCCAATCTAAGCTGTGCTTGTTCTGTAGCTGCCATAGGCCATAGCTGCCGTCCGAGACACAACGAAGAGCAGTGCTAGAAGCAAGCTCACCTCATTGAGCATTCTGGCGACATCCGCCCAGTCCACGCCTCCAGACCTCAAGTTGACATCAGAGCACAACACGATCATACAAGACCCTGTGCGTTCTGTCTAGGCTGCGTGCATCGAAGAAAACAATGTGAAGATCCCGCCGAGCCTCAGCTGTATGAAACTGCCACGGCCAACCTCGAGACACTGGGCACATCTGGGAACCTGACAGGGTTCCGAAGTGCAAAAGAAGCTGTTGGGCCAGCTGCTCCTTGGCCTCCACGGAAAGGTCCAAGGATGACAGGTACGGTCTCAGCAGCCTCAAGCAGACTCAAGCATGTCACAGCATGTCATACTCCCGAACCAGAACATGCTTCCTTGCATTGCAACAAAGTAGCTGCAAGATGCAGGCTGCAACGGCAAACCTGTCATTCCAAGCAGGCCCAACCGAGCTCAAGCTTCATGCTGCGTTAGACGGCCTCTCGACTGTCGGTTGACGAACCATCGACTTGAAAAATAATCCCCTTGAACATCCCCAACAGCGGAATGGCTGTCGTTGGGCTCGCATTATAGGGAACTAGAAAGCTGACAGAGCTGTAGATGGTTGTCCATGCCCGGCCGGGCATTGAACACAAGATTTGCTGAAACTACGGCCTCGGAAAATGCATCTGGGTTTGCGCAAAGCTCGGAGAGATCAACTTGAGGGCCAGGGGCATGGAGAACGAAAGCTCGGTCTTTTTTTACAGAAGGACTCAACGGCTACACAAACGCAAACGCAGAGAGACATGGCTGCACTGCACAAACACTTCACAAACAAGTACTGATATATCAATGAA